TTGTCTTTGCTGGCTTCTTTAAATAATTAAAGGCTAAACTTCCCAGAAAGAAAATGTGTATCTTCCTTGTTTAACCTTAAGTGTAAGATATCCAGTGCCTCAAAATATCAAACTAAGTGCAAGTCTTAAAGGATTACTAATGCAGACTACACATGTTAGGTGATTCTGACAACAAATGTTAACCACTGAATAGTTATATCCATTTTAATGGTGCTTATTATTTTAATAAAATTGAAATGAATTTTAGGGCTTTTGATTACAAAGATATCCTGGGGAAATTAATAGATTTCACGTGAGATTTTATCTACACAGGAGCTTTTCGGTATCAAATTATCCTTGACAGGAAAGAGAAGATTTATTTGACTTAAATTCCTAGATTTCACCAACACTGATGCTCAGAATAAGGCCAAAGAAAGAACCGTCTAGTAAAATGTTTAAAAAGTGGGGCTGGAAGTGTAGCTCAATGGGAGAGCACATGCCAGGCTTTGGGCTTGATCCGTAGCACAGCACACACACGGCAAACCACCCTCAGGTGAAGTTAGACACACCGATAACCATAAAGGACACCATGGCCTGCGTTTGGGGAACAGAAGAGGAATTCCGTAAGTCAGCCTCTCACCAGATTACCTACTGAAGGGTATCTGGGGATGACCCACAGTGCCCAGGGTTTACCTAGTCCAGTGGTGGCTGTTATCACTGAAAGCTCCAAAAGGTTCACCATCACTGACCTAGTCCGTCCTTTTCGCTCCAATTCCTACTGTCTATGCAGGGCCTTGTATATCACAGTATGGATTCTACCTGCAATGCGATGTGGTTGGAGAGTTTTAATAAAGCAGCAGATTTATAAGATATGATTTGTTTTCAGGATCAAATGTGCTGACAGCTCACTAAACACTAAGCTATAAAGCACTGTGCCAGTATATTTTATTACCTCAACAGATGGCAGAACAAAAGGGCGGGAAGGCAAACTAAAATCCAAGTAGGACAGGCCCATTCCAGATCAGGTGGCCTGAGTCTTCTCCCCCACTTCCCTTATGTCCTATTTAGAGAGCTGGGGAAGATGAGATTTGATGGAAGAGGAATCAAGATTTGGTTTTGAGGAATCAAGATTTGGTTTTCAATATTTTAAAGTTTAGGTTGTCTATTAGATATCTAGTTGGAAACCCTCAGCAGGTAGGGGGATATACATACAGTACCTACCCACCTGGAGCTAAAGGGAGACATCAGGAATGGAAATAGAGACTTGGGATCCATCAGAATAATACAAAGTATTTATTAGTATCAGTACAAGCTAAACTTCATGGCACAGTTACTATATTTCAGTCACCATTTTAAGTGTTTTACATGCACAAACCCATTTGGCCTTCATCACAACTTGAAGAGGATAGGTCCTATGATCACCCCTATTTTACAAATGAAGAAACTGGGGCATAAGATTAATTTACCCAAAGACAAAAGCAAGTATGTATTAGGCAGTCTGACTCTGGAACTCTTTAAAGCCATGGATTGCTGGGAAGTGAGTAGAGACACAGTATGGAGGATACAATGTTTCATTTCATTTTCATGGGTTCTTAGTTACAAGTGCCTGGCACAGTTTCAGGATCTGCAGATACATATGTGCTACTGAAGCTTTTTAAACATATTATTCTTCTAATACCTTCTACAGTAGATGTTATTATCACCATGGGGGGAAGGGAACAGGGGCTCACTATGTAGCCCAGACTGGCCTCCAACTTGTGACAATCCTCCTGCCTCAGCCTCCCAAATGCTGAGATTACAGGCATGTGCCACCACATCTGGCTCTTATCACCATTTCAGAAATAAGGAAATAGGCTCAAAGAGATTAGGCAACTCAACCTAGGTTGTTCAGCTAGTAAATGACACAACTAGGACTCAATTCAGATCCATCTTAGTTCAAAACCGATCTCCAAGGAAACTCCATCATATATTACAACTCAAGACGAACCTTGAGGACCTTATTCTAAGTGAAATAAACCAATCACCAAAGATAAATACTACATAACTACTTATATAAGGTTATTATCTAAAGCAGTCAAATTCACAGCAACAAAAAGTAGAAGGCTGGCTGCCAAAGGCTGAGGATGTGGAAAATGAGTTGTTTAGTGAGTACACAGCTTTAGATTTGCAAGATGAAAAGTTCTGGAGATCTGTTGCACAACAATGTGAATATACTTAACATCACCAAACTCTACATTTGTAAATGGCTATGATGAAAAACATATTTTTTTAACCAGAATGTCCATTTTTTTAAAAATCTAGTTTTAGGAGAGGGAAAGGGGACATAAAAAATTAACATGCAGTACGCACACATTCCCCATGATGATGAATATAATCATTATGTACTGTGAAATGTAGTAAAAAAAGGTAAAAATAAAAATATAGTTTCCCTACGTATCCCGTTACAGACATGTTTACTGTGCAGTGGAAAGACTGGTGAGCAAACAATTTATTCGCACATAAGAGGGGCGATGGATGGTGTGACAAGGAACAGATCGAAGAGTCATAAAGAAAGGAAACGCGTGAAAGGTGGTCTCCATTCTATCCTCACTACAGCTCTGGGCAGGGGTCTTTATCTCGACCTCTGAAATACTGCTCCCACACCCATATACAACCATCAGTTACCATAATAACGAGCCTACACCAGGCTCACAGATTCCAGTAATGTGCTAATCTGGTGAGCTTCTATACTTTCCTCCCATCCTAAATCTTTCTGCAGTGGAAACAAATTAATTTTCTTAATTGCCTCATTCATCATGCTAAAAAACAAACAAACAAAAAAACCTTCTTTTTTCAGTTTTTCGAGGCAGGGTCTCACTGTGCAGTGCAAACTGGTCTTGAATTAAAAATGTAGTCCAGGCTGGCCTTGAACTAGTGGTGATCCCCCTGCCTCAGCCTCCTGAGTGCTGGGATTACAGGCATGCACTGCCACACCTGGTCAAACAAACCTCTATATTTTTTTCTTAGAATATACATTATCTGGATCGATGTTTAGGATCACATGACCTAACCTTTCTGAGCCTCAGTTTTATCATCTATCTTAAGAGACTTAAAGATACATTTTGCAGGGTGCTTGATCTAAATGGGCTAAGGATGTAGCTCAGTGGTAAAATGTTTACCTAGTATGTATCCCTGGATTCAATCCCCAGCATCACAAACACAACAAAAAACCAAAGTAAATGCTCATTAAAGAAAGATTAGTTAGAACTCTTTCTGCCACTACTGGAATATGTGAGCCTGGTATAGTCCTCTTTCTGCCAGCTTGATAAGGTCTAGCTTAAAGGACACAGCAAGTATTTCTAGGATCTTCTCTAGGCAGATAGAGAGGAATTCACAAAGAAAAAAGGGTCACTCATTTATGTTTTCTCATGTCCAGGAAAATATGGCTCACTCAGAACCACTTTTTTTCTTGGTACCGGGGATTGAAGTTGGGTCCTTGTGCTTGCAAGGCAGGTGGCGGAACCACTGAGCTAAATCCCCGGCCCAGAACCACTTCTTCATCTGCATTCACCACATATAAAGACCACTTAGTCCTTTTTTCTTTTGTTCTTTTCTGAAACAGGGTCTCCCATTTAGCTCAGGCTGGCCCTGAACCTGTGTGGAACTTGAAATTCTCCTGCCTCAGCCTCTCAAGTGCTGGGATTATAGGCCTGGGCCACCTGGCCTGACTTAGTCTACCTTCAAATGGTTCAAAATTAAATTTAAATATATAAAGGTTTACAGTGAAAAGTCTCACTTCCATTCTCTTCTCTGTACACCCAACTTCAAGGCCTATCCCACGGACCACTTTATTAAGTTTCTTGTTTATCCTTTGAAACTTTATTTAAAAGCTTTCTTTAAATCGAATTAATGTTTTACAGGTGTGTTTGCCAGTACATTCTGGGACCACGGGGGTTGGAGGAAGAGCAAGAAGACTAAGTCTTATCCATCCTGCTTAACCCTAAAGTAATGTTCCTTCACTCATCCAAAAAAAAAAAAAAAAACCAACAAAAAAAAATAGTAACCACATAGTGAGCACCTATTACAAGCTAGTCACTAAGTATAACATTACCTGATTTCCTTTCTGCCCTTACTATGTAGCAGAAGTGCACTGACAGTTAAAACAATTGTCTCCCTTGGTCTTTAAAAGGTAGGTTCTAATTCTCATCCTCATCTTACCCATAAGGAAACTAAGGTGTAGAAACATAACTTGCCCAACCAAGAAAGCGAGCAGAGCTTTGAACCCAGGCCTGACTTGAGTCCTCGCTCTGAACCATGACGCTCTACACGAGCGAAACTGAGTCCGCATCAGTTGGAGCTCAGCCTAATGTGGAAGACAGGCGAGAGAAGGGCAGACAACAAAGAAATAACGTAATTACAGACGAAGAAAGTACTGGGAAAGAAACGAATTCGGGGCTTTGACAGAATAACAATGGGGGCCTGCATAGAAAGGACGAAGGAGCAATGTCAGGTAAGGCCTCTCTGAGCAAAACACGTTTACCATACGCCTGGGAACAGTTTGGGGGGCTGCAGTGAGGACCCTTGCTCATTAACAAGGGGAAAACTCGAGACCTGTAGTAAATAAAACAAACTCGCCAGGGTCCCCCAGACATGTAGACGTGGCGCAGGGGAAGGAGGATCCAAAACCTGGGCCCCGGGCTCGTACACGCCATCAATGCCCACAGAAGCCCAGCCCCGTTCAGCCAGACCCGGGGCCTCTAGCTAGTAGCTGCCCACCGCCCAGCCGAGACTGACAGCGTCCGGGCGGCCCACAGGGAGGCCCCGCGGCCGGCCACGAAGG